CTTACACATATCTGACGGGAGTTTGGTGGTTGAGATTAGTGTAATATGTTAACATCTGCCTTACACATATCTGACGGGAGTTAGGTGGTTGAGGTTAGTGTAATATGTTAACATCTGCCTTACACATATCTGACGGGAGTTTAGTGGTTGAGGTTAGTGTAATATGTTAACATCTGTCTTACACATATCTGACGGGAATTTGGTGGTTAAGGTTAGTGTAATATGTTAACATCTTCCTTACACATAACTGACGGGAGTTAGGTGGTTGAGGTTAGTTGAATATGTTAACATCTGCCTTACACGTATCTGACCGGAGTTTGGTGGTTGAGGTTAGTGTAATATGTTAACATCTGCCTTACACATATCTGACGGGAGTTTGGTGGTGGAGGTTGGTTTAATAATGGCAATATCTGTTATACACGTATCTGTTCATGATCAGTGTTTTTGACGTATCTGTTTTTGGTGTATCGTTTCTGAAGTCTGACATGTTAATATCCAGGAGGACTGTTATTGCCGTCACCAAACCACTACAAATGCTGGAGAAAGAAGCTGAGAGAACAAATATGGCTAACAATAGTTTCTCCTCAGAAGCCCAGGAAAACGTCAAGGATGGATGTGTGTCTGAATATCGCTTTAGTATAGGTCAACTACCTTACTGGGCCAAGAAACAGGTTTTATTGGATGTCACATTTACCTTTAATCACTAGTTTTGTGTCTCTGGGTGGTAGGGTTCACATAGATCACTATTGGTGTGTCACATGTTATTGTGTAGCTATGGTGAAACATTCATCTTTAACTACGAACTTCTAGGCAATGAAATTTACACACTGATCACATGTGCTACTAGGCAATGAAATTTTCACACTGATCACATATGCCACTAGACAATGAAGTTTACACACTAATCACATGTGTTACTAGGCAATGAAATTTACACACCGTTCACATGTGCCACTAGACAATAATTTACACACCAATCCCATGTGACACTAGACAATGAAGTTTACACACTAATCACATGTGCTACTAGGCAATGAAATTTACACACCGATCACATGTGCCACTAGACAATAATTTACACACTAATCACATGTGACGCTAGGCAATAATTTACACACTAATCACATGTGCTACTAGGCAATAATTTACACATTAATCACATGTGCCACTAGACAATAATTTACAGACTAATCACATGGACCATTAGGCAATAATTTACACATTAATCACAAGGGACACTAGACAATAACTTACACACTAATCACATGTGCCACTAGGCAATAATTTACACATTAATCACATTTGCCAATAGACAATAATTTACACGCTGATCACATGTGCCACTAGACAATAATTTACACACTAATCACATGTGCCACTAGACAATAATTTACACACTAATCACATGTGCCACTAGGCAATAATTTACACACTGATCACATGTGCCACTAGAAAATAACTTACATATTAATCACATGTGCTACTAGACAATAATTTACACACTAATCACATGTGCTACTAGGCAATAATTTACACACTAATCACATGTGCCACTAAACAATAAAGCTTTTACACAAGTGCAGCAAGGTAAAATAATGACCAAATACCTTGTTCTTATTTATTCCAATTGTCAATAACAAATTGTATATTTTATGTGGATTACTTGTGCTGTAGTTAGTAAACTAGTACACAGAGGATGAGAGTGTCATATTAAAATGATTTTTAAACCTCATGACATCATGCTTGTTTATATCGCCACAACCAGTCATACTCTATCTCGTGATGTGCACCTTTATTAGCCCTGCAATATACTTTCAATTGAAGAAGGCTCCATTGTAACGCTGTCGTGTCCAAACCAGAACACTCCTTCCTGTTTGATTTCCACAAGCCATATCACGTATGATGATGGTTTCCCAGCACCAATTTCAACAGTCCGGTCATTCAGAAATCCATAGGTACTTAGTCTTATAGCATGAATACTCATTTTATTTTCCAACTACTTTAGATACACATTGGTAAAATGGAAGGTATGGCTGGAAACCTTATCTTGTTGAGCCTATACTCTATTGGCTTCGTTTCCAAATCGAAATCCTTCTTCATTGTTATGATGTGTACTTTTGTCTGAGGAACGTAAACAACGTTACCCCCTGAACTTTGTGTTGTTGGCTTCTCACCTGTTATAAGACTCCACATTTTGCTTACCACGGCTGGGGAATGACTTGTTGCAAGTTTTTCTGGATGATGTTTGGGTCTCATTTTGATCAATATTCCTATATTTCCCATTGGTATTAAGTTCAAAGGATAGTCCTGTCTTTAAAATTTTCCAAACTGAACACATTTTTATGATCTGAGCGTACGAATATTTTAAATGGGAAAGAGCTGTTACATGCCTTTCACAAAAGTGATTAAATTTTGGAGGACTTCACTCTAACCTTAAAATTCCAAACAATATCAAAACGTAGTTCTGATAAAAGCGTTCCACCATCACTTTATTTTGACTGTGGATGTCATGTGACATTCTTATTTGTGTATCCAAAATCGTTTTAATATAACATACTCAACCCACCGTTTAACTTACTAATATATGATTAATAATATCTGAATGTTGATGTTATCTATTTTTGTATCATTCTTATGCTAGATTTTTTTTATTAACATCATAGATGTCCAAGGAGCTCAGTAAATGTAATACAGACCAACAAAACTCTCCAGCTGTTCTACCTCGAGGTCGTTGGGCACAGAGGTTAGATGATCAAGGAAAACCCTATCCTAACTCTGACTCTGTTATTCCTCTTCCAAACATTCCAAGTGTGCAATGTATACAACCAAACATTCCAGGTGTGTAATGTATACAACCAGACATTCCAGGTGTGTAATGTATACAACCAGACATTCCAGGTGTGTAATGTATACAACCAAACATTCCAGGTGTGTATTGTATACAATCAGACCTTTCAGGTGTGTAATGTATACAACCAAACATTTCACGTGTATAATGTATACAACCAGACATTCCACGTGTGTAATGTATACAACCAAGCATTCCACGTGTGTAATGTATACAACCAAATATTCCTGGTCTGTAATGTTTACAACCAGATATTCCACGTGTGTAATGTATACAACTAAACAATCCACGTGTGTAATGTATACAGCCAAGCATTCCACGTGTGTAATTTATACAACCAAACATTCCAGGTGTGTAATGTATACAAACAGACATTCCAGGTGTGTAATGTATACAACCAAAAATTTCACGTGTGTAATGTATACAACCAAGCATTCCACGTGTGTAATGTATACAAACAGACATTCCAGGTGTGTAATGTAAACAACCAAAAATTTCACGTATGTAATGTATACAACCAAGCATTCCACGTGTGTAATGTATACAACCAAATATTCCTGGTCTGTAATGTATACAACCAGATATTCCACGTGTGTAATTTATACAACCAAACATTCCAGGTGTGTAATGTATACAAACAGACATTCCTGGTGTGTAATGTATACAACCAGACATTCCACGTGTGTAATGTATACAACCAAACATCCCACGTGTGTAATGTATACAACATACAACAGACTTTGCTTCGTCAAAACAGCATAGATTCCTAATTAATATAAAATATTCTCTAAGTTTGTATGGTTTGATATTCAAAAACAAATGTATTTTTAAGAAAAAAGCACACGTGACCTGTTACTATCTTGAAACATCTTAGAAATGTGGTTAGGCAGTGTATAACTTAAGTCCTTGTTAATGTAGTAATTTCTAGTCAATGTGTAAAAGAAGTCTTCACTCAGTATGTAAAGTGTGTGAAGGAAATCCTAACAAAGTTTCTAGTTAGTATTTTAGGTGTTTGAAGGAAGTCCTAACAAGGTTTCTATTAAGTGTGTAAGCTGTGTGAAGGAAGTCCTAACAAGATTTTTCTAATCAGTATGTAAGATGTGTGAATTAAGTTCTAACAAAGTTTCTAGTCAGTGTGAAAAGTGTTCGAATATTGTCCATATGAGGTTTCTAATCAGTGTGAAAAGTGTTCGAATATTGTCTTTATGAGTTTCTAGTTAATGTGTAAAGTGTGTTAAGGCAGTCCTAAAACAAAGTTGTTAGGCATTGAATAAATTGTGTGAATTAAATTATTTTTAAAGAGTAAAGGTAGTGTATAAAGTGTGTGAAAATAGATTTAAGAAAGTTCTGTTAAAGGTATATTTTAATTTTCTTTCTATTCACTTTATGATCTAGACCAGGAAAAAGAGAAAGGACTAACTACTGTTGAGTTCAAACAACAGAAAGAAATCCTCAACCCACAAAACCAGGTAAAGTTATAATGTTGTTGAGTTCAGACAACAGAAATAAATCCTCAACCCACAAAACTAGGTAAAGTTAGAATGTTGTTGAGTTCAGACAGCAGAAATAAATCCACAATCACAAAACCAGGTAAAGCTAGAATGTTGTTGAGTTCAGACAACAGAATGAAATCCTCAATCACAAAACCAGGTAAAGCTAGAATGTTGTAATTTCAGACAACAGAAAAAAATCCTCAACTCACCAAATCAGGTAAAGTAAGAATGTTGTTGAGTTCAAACAACAGAAAGAAATCCTCAACCAACCAAATCAGGTAAAATTAAAATAGACAATAGAAAGAAATCCTCAACCCACAAAACCAGGTAAAGTTAGAATGTAGTTGAGTTCAGACAATAGAAAGAAATCCTAAGCCCACGAAACCTGGTAAAGTTAGAATGTTGTTGAGTTCAAACAACAGAAAGAAATACTCAACCCACCAAAGAGGTAAAGTTAGAATGTTGTTGAGTTCAGACAACAGAAAAAAATCCACTATAACAAAACCAGGTAAAGTTAGAATGTTGTTGAGTTCAGACAATAGAAAGAAATCCTCAACCCACCTAACCAGGTAAAGTTAGAATGTTGTTAATTTGAGACAACAGAAAAAAATCCTCAATCACAAAACCAGGTAAAGTTAGAATGTTGTTGAGTTCAGACAACAGAAAGAAATCCTCAATCACAAACCCAGGTAAAGTTAGAATGTTGTTGAGTTTAGACAACAGAAAGAAATACTCAACCCACCAAATCAGTTAAAGTTCGAATGTTGTTGAGTTCAGACAGCAGAAAGAAATCCTCAATCACAAAACCAGGTAGAGTTAGAATGTTATTGAATTCAAACAATAGAAAGAAACCCTCAACCCACAAAACCAGGTGAAGGTAGAGTGTTGTTGAGTTCAGATATTAAAAGAAACCCTCAAACCACCAAATCAGGTAAAGTTAGAATGTTGTTGAGTTCAGACAACAGAAAGAAATCCTCTATGGCAAAACCAGGTAAAGTAAGAATGTTGTTGAGTTCAGACAACAGCAAGAAATCCTCAACCAACCAAATAAGGTAAAATTAAAATGTTGTTGAGTTCAGACAATAGAAAGAAATCCTCTATGGCAAAACCATGTAAAGTTAGAATGTAGTTGAGTTCAAACAATAGAAAGAAATCCTCAACCCACAAAACCAGGTAAAGCTAGAATGTTGTTAATTTCAAACAACAGAAGGAAATCCTCAAACCACCAAATCATGTAAAGTTAGAATGTTGTTGAGTTCAGATATTAAAAGAAATCTTCAAACAACCAAATCAGGTAAAGTTGGAATGTTGTTGAGTTCAAACAACAGAAAGAAATCCTCAACCCACCCAAAGAGGTAAAGCTAGAATGTTGTTGAGTTCAGACAACAGAAATAAATCCTCAATCACAAAACCAGGTAGAGTTAGAATGTTGTTGAGTTCAGACAATAGAAAGAAATCCTCATCCCAC